ACCAGCTGATGTGCTGAATGCCCCCTTCACGCTCCTGCTTGAGCTGCATGTATCTCTGGATGGCCTTCTTCAGGTCCAGGACCGTGGCACTCTGCACTACAACCACAGCTGCAACCACGGGCACAGGTGGGAGAAGATCCATGGTGAGAGCCCAAAGCCACAGGCTCCCATGGCAGAAAAGGAACCCAGAAGCTCTGTGTGCAGGGCAGGTGTGGGGTTGCCCGATACCCCTGGGCATGGCCTGTGACCTGAAGGGAGAAGGGTGGCACTCACGCATCACTTCTCCATCCATCTTGCACACTCGGACCGTCATTGCCTGGCCGTATTCTAGGGCTATTTGGGAGTTGACTTCTTCCAAAGTAACCTAGAAAAGACCAAGAGCAGAAGTAGGAGCCGGCTCTCTTTACCACCTTGAACATCAAAGAACAAGCTGACAGTGGCCAAAAAGAGGCGCTCCATTTTATGTAGGGCAAGGAAGGGAAGATGTGCTTCCCTACACATTAGGGTTTCCCCATTCATCAGAGCCCCAATTCATGTTCCACTCACATTTTAATTTAATGTCCAAAGTGGACAGTCTCTTGGGGAACAAGAGAATACACTCCCATGAGGATCCATCCCAGGGGGTGGGTAGGGGCCTGGCTGTCAGTTCACCCTGAGTATCCCTGATCATCAGGACCCAGGCCAGGGCCTGGGACTGGGGTAAGGCAGGTGTGGGAAATTTACCAGGGCAGCAAAAAATGGTATTAACTATAAATATTTTAACACAACATTTAAGAAGTACAAGGCATTGAAGCTGGACGTGGTGGCTCACGCCTGTAATCCAAGCACTTTGGAGGCCAAGGCGGGTGGATCACCTGAGGTCAGGAGTTCAAAACCAGCCTGACCAACATGGTGAAATGCTGTCTTTATTTAAAAAAAAAAAAAAAAAAAAAAAAGTACAAGGCAATTAAAAAATCCATGATAAGCAAAATATAAAACATTTAGAATTGGCTGGGCACGGTGGGTCATGCCTGTAATCTCAGCACTTTGGGAGGCCCAGGCGGGCAGAACAGGAGACTGAGACCATTCTGGCCAACATGTTAGATCATGCTACTGCAGTCTGGCCTGGCTCTGTCTCAAAACAAAAACCAAAACAAAAACCAAAACCATGTAAACAAAGACAGTATAGTGCCAAAGCATATTGATGCTTGAGGCAAATGGAACAATCAGTACTACGAATCTTGCTCTTGTTTAAAACTAGATTTTTTCTTTTTTTTTTTTTTTTTTTTT